GTTTTGCCATTGGCTGATGCATGCAGACATGTGGGAAGTTGTGTAGCAGTAGACATGGGAAAGAGTTTCTCTACACTGTGGATCTTTCACAATATCAGACTTTTTGGAATAGATGTGATTCAGCAGCATAACGCTTATTCATGCAGGGCTGCTGTGCAGTTTCCTACACAAATCGCTGCTGTGTTTTTCTCTGTAGCTTTTCTCCATACAGAGTACATGACATGTCCAGTGGTCCCTGCCAGCCTGATCTTAGAGATGGAAAAGATCTAATACAGCGGTTCTCAAACTGTGGGTGAGGACTCTGTTTTAATGGGGTCATCAGGGCTGGCGTTAGACTTGCTGGGGCCCAGGGCTGAAGCTGAAGCCCGAACCTCACCACCTGGGGCCAAAACTGAAGCCCAAGGGCTTCATCCCTGGTCAGTGAAATCCCTGGGCAGTGAGGCCCAGGTTACAGGCCCCCCACCTGGGGCTAAAGCCCTTGGGCTTCAGATTTGCCCCCCCCTCCTCCACCGAAACACACCCGGAGCAGTGGGGCTCAGGCTTTGGCTTTCGTCTCCCCCACCCCTGCCTGGGGTGGCGGGGCTCAAGAGATCTCAGGCTTCGGTCGCCTCTCCTGGGGTCATGTAGTAATTTTTGTTGTCAGAAGGGGGTTGCGGTGCAATGAAGTTTGAAAACCGCTGATCTAGTAGATCATTAGGTCCTCATTTGTGCACTACAGGCTGCTTCCCTGCCCTTTTAATAAATCAAATTTGTTGTGGCTTCTTCTAAGCATGACCAGAAAGGTGTTGGGAGAGATAGGGATTGATGCTGTTTATTGCTTATAGAAAACCTGGACAGACTGATTAGTTAGGTGATTCTGGTTTTCTAATTACTATAGGAATAGGATTTTCAAGTCTTGTCTACCCTGTTTTTGATGGGGGGTTCCTTTTATTCTGCCTTAATTAAGGGACTGGAGGGACTCACTTTTTAATAAGATATTTTAAAATCTGGGGGGAAAAGTCCTCCTCCTCACCATTGATTAAGTTTTACTTTCTTGATACCTTTGATAATCCTACTTAGCCTGTAGTCACCTAGAGACCCTTCCAAGAAAAACAGACACAGACCTGACTTTCTAATAAAACAAGCAAAAACAAAAATAAAACTTTTCTGCTTTGGCGTAGAAAGAAGGCATGTCTGTTTTTCCTCTTTAAAAATACATCCTACAAAAGAAAAAGCGCTCACACCTATTTGTGTTTGGTTTTATTTTTCTCCCTTTATAGATCACTTTCCAACAATATTTTTACAAAGTGGAAAACCATTTGCCATCAGGCTATATTCCTACTAGCCTCTAGAAATCAACTAGGGAATAATAGAAGAGAGTGTAATTGGTGTGTTTGTGTTTTCACTTAGCTGTGGAATTAAGAGGATTCCACTGTATTTACATACAAATACTTCCCTTTAAGACAGAAATTGTTTCCAGTTTTTTCCTTTGTTTCTTTGTGGCTTTTAAAGGTCGCCAAGAAAGCATGAGTGATGGGAGGAAAGAAGACTCTCCTTTTTTAATTAGAAATGTCCTTGGTTCACTCCCTCCCCTGAAATATTTAATATCTCTGATCATTATCTTCTAAACTCAAGAAAACAGTAGGTTGGAGTAGGGAAAGAGCAATGATGTAACTAAAACTAAACAGGCTATCTAAAAAGGGAGTACATTTTCCTGGCTAGTAGAGAGAAAAGATAAGATAAAATACATAAAACATAGTAAGATTCTTACAGGAAGCAGAATGGAGTCGATGACTAATCCTGTTGCCAGCTGTGCCTTGTTATGATATTGTAATATGTTTGTAATATAATAGAAAATTTGGTCTCTCTGGAATTTTCAGATGACTTTTTTTACTTTGGCCTTATTTTTTAAAATAAGAAATAGGTTTTCAAAGTCATCTATAAGTCTAATGATATTTTAATACATGACATAACAAATTTGGACATTACAATGAGTTAACATGAAAATATAGGTAACCTGTAGTTGCACTTATAAATTAACTAGCTGAGGCATAGACTTGGGACCCAATCCTACAAACTGTTACTTGCATAAGACTTCAGTGAGCCCCATCTAAGTAAGAGTTTGTGTCTTCAGGCCTAGGAGCCCACTCCTGCTCCCACAGAACTCGTTAAGAGCTTTTGCCATTGATTTCAGATTTGCCGCTGGCTGACCTTGCTTGAATGTTTGTTCCTGCATTTTGACTACTGGGCTGGGCCTCACAAACTCAGAAATAGAGCTGAGTGAATAATTGATTTTTGAGTTCAGTGGTCAAACTAAAAAAAATTAGTTTATTTCAAACCACAGTAGATTTTTATTTATTTCCCCCCCACACCCCACTCCCGGAAATAATCAGTTTTAGTTCAAAACTGTTTTGATCCTTTCAAAACTGTTTTCCTCATTTTTTTTATTCAGCCCAAACTGAATTCAACCCAAATTCATAAACTGCATTTCACCAGCTGTACTAAGCCTTGTCTACACTAGAGCATTTTGGTGTCGCAACTCTATAAAAAGCACCTTGCATCCACTCTCACAATTCCTCCTTTGGTAAATGGGCTTTCAGTCTGCTGTTGTGACTGCACTTGTTCTGAGTAAAGCTGAGCACTGTTTCACCCATCGTGTTTTGCTGCTGTGCCAATATAAACAGGAGCTGTTGCAGCTGCAATCGTACAGTTGGTCTTCCCATTGATATCCCATAGTGATCATAATAAATGACATCTCTACAACTTCCTCCCCTTCCCCCCATTCATACAGGCCAATTGTGCTGTTTGGGTGGTCCTGTCTTATAAAAGCACAGAGACCTATTATAAGTAGATTTTATTTCAGTTTTCTCATTAGTTTTTTCTACAATAGTCTATACAGTAGGAGTTTTGTGGAAATGCCACATGGGCTACCAAAATAACTTTTATTCCAAAGTTTGCTACAAATATTGCAAAAAAGTCACTTTCCGTTGTTAGATCTGATTTCCTTGCTGGACTTAAGAGTTTGATCCAGCCAGTGTGTGTCTGCGTGAGTGGTGGGCCCCCAGGGGTGGTGCTAAATTAGTCTGGGGTGTGTGGGAGTGATGTGAATAGGAAGAAAGCAATGGTAGGGATGGGTCTATAACTCCTGTTATCTTACTCCAACAATGATGGGTAAGGTGCATCCTCCTGTGGTTGAATTATGAGCTTCCTCCCTTCCCTCCTTGACACAAGTGAAAGCAGCCGCATACTGGCACTAGCACAGCTATTCTCTGCTTCCATGGCCACCTAATTTGTCAATAACAGGCATATGCAGCCTGCCTTTATAGAAACACCACCAAATGCCCCAACCTCTATGTCCTTACCACTTTCATCATCTTGAGTAGCATGTTGTCTTCTGGTGAACAAGGGAATGTAGAAGCGTGGTGCAAACAGAAGAAGGGAAAAAAACAATGAAAAAGAAGCTGAAAAATGAGATGAGATAGATGGGTAGTGGCAGGAGAAAACAGGCACAGAAAAATACAAGAAAGGTGTGGGGGAGGAAGGTTAATAGGCAACAACTGTGGTACCAGGGCCTGGCATCGGTGGATCATGACCCATAAAGCAATACAATGGAAGATGGTGTCTCTATCAAAAGGTTGGGAAGCATTGAACGAAATCCTGATTAATTCCCTGTACTTTCCCAGGAATCATATGTGTTTAATTTATTTTTTGTTAAGTATTCAAAGATTGGAATAACTCCCATGTATGTTTATTTTACTGCTCAGAGACCACAGAATATGATTTAAATGGGTTTAGTCTACCAAAACTGAAGTCTTTTTTATAATTTATTTTATTTTTCAGGAACATCCATCTCTTGGGCAACTTTCTGAAAAACTGATAGACAACAACATCAATGTTATCTTTGCAGTTCAAGGAAACCAGTTTCACTGGTATAAGGTGTGATAAAAGTCATAATTGCAATTGCTTTCTTTTTAAAAGTGCAATTTTAAGATTCTGATTGTGAATAAATTATTGCATTTTTCATAGGATCTTTTGCCTCTGTTGCCTGGTACTGTCGCAAGACAAATAGAATCGCAAGCAGCTAATCTCAATGATTTGGTGGTAGAAGCCTATCAGGTATGTTTCCCATGAAGATTATGTAATTTTTTTTTCTTGTTTGTGCAGTTTTCCTACATATAATAAACTACAGCCTAAAGCTGAGATTTTCAAAGGTGCCTAGGGAAATTAGGTGCCAAACTCCTATTGAAAGTCAGTAGGAGTTGGGTGCCTGGCTCCTTTGAAATTCCTAGCATGAGGTTCATATCTGGTGAACATTGTAAGTGACCTAATCCTCTGATGGTTAAGATGAGTTCTCAGTTTATTGGTGCCTTCATTGCTCCTAACTGTCCCAGGGGATCTTTTGCACTGGTTGCCATGCTATTTCCTAGGAAGTGGTTTGTGGGTTTAGGTGCATTTTCTGTGTCTCCACCTTCCTTAACTGTTTTCTGTCACTTCTGCCTTCTCTAATTTTTTTCCTTTTTGGTCTCTCTTTATTTCTCCCTCTTAGTTTTATATTCTGTCTCTGTTCTCTCCTTTATCCTCTTCCTTTTTACCCATTTTGTTTTCCCACACATATGCTTTCTTTGTTAGCTGTTTTCCGCAAAATCGATATTACATAAAGGTTCAGAAATGTAATACAAAACTATAGACATTGCATCCATGATATGGCTGTATATTGCAACGTTTTTTAACTTGTAGGAGTTGGGAGTGTCTTATTTACTGATGTCCACTTGTGATATAGTCTTAAAGTAGGTTTTGCCGTACCAGGAAAACTGTGTTAAAATTGGACTTGCAAGGAGATCTGAGAGCATTTGCCATCTTTTGTGTAAGAAAAAAGTTTTACAAACCATTGTCTTTTGAGGTTTGAGGATTGTCAAGGCATACCAAATAAGTCAGTAAAGTATATCAGTGCACATTTAGCTTGCAGTGCTGTTAAAGACAGGCACTATGAAATAGCTAAAGACAGACAAAATAGAGGGAGTTGAATTGATACAAATCAGTTTATTTCAATGAATTTAATCGGTGTGTTATGTCTTCTCTCATAACGTTAACTTTGAAAGTTGATTTCCAGAAAAACTTCCAAGGTTTGTGCTAAGCATCATTTGGTTAAGGCCACTGTCCTCTTTAGCATTCCATAGTATCAATGGATTATTTCTTGCTACGCAGTTTCTGACCAGTAACATGGCACATTTTTGTTAGTCATCAAATATCCTACCCCAATTTCTATAAGATACCCCTGGACAGATACGCAGTGAGAAGAAATTAAAATTTCACAATGCAATCTTTTTATTTCATTGAAGATTCTTTGGGACTTTCCTGCTCCATCCACCCACTCTCTCGTCCTGTTTTTTACTTCTCTAATATCCATTATTTCTCTTCTTCCTTCCTTCCTCTCTTCCTTGTGGATTTGGTACTTTCCGTTTTTAACATGGTTCTAGCATGTGTGCTACACAAATACATTGTGAACTGGCCTTGGATGTTTTGCCTTCCTGAAAGTAAATGTTTTAATATAAGAAAATAAATGTTAATGTTAGATAGTGGGCCTTTGGCACTTGTGTTCTAAGCAGGGAAATCTGTCGGCTTATTTATGGAAAACACTGCCTGAATTTCCTTGGCTAAAAAACCATAGATGAGTCACTAATTTTCAGAGGTCACAAAACATGTTTTCAGATTCATGTAATTGATCTTCCTTTTATAACAGTGAAAATATCCAATTAAACAAATATTTAAAACCCACTAAGAAGGGGAAATTATACATACCACTTTTGTACAGATAGTAGTAGCTTTTATCAATCAGTTTTAATAAATCTGTAATAAGCCAAATACAAGCAATATTCCCTCTAAAATGAACAGTCGGACTCATTGCACAGTAGAGCAATTTTTGATGATGTTGGGTTTTTGTTTCATATGACGGTAGCACTCAAATGCCCCAGTCAGGATTGGCTAGTTGCCTCTTCATACCATCTGTCCTGAATAAATCAGTTAGTCTAATCCAGTAGCTTTTAGAATAACCTGAGGGTTGTCCTGAGAAAATTCTTCCTAAATAAATGCAAAATGTTAGAAGCGGAAATTGTCAAGCTAATTTGGAACCTTTCTTGCTAGATAACAATAGATGCATACTTGCTCTTTTATTTAAAGTGTGCTGTTAAGACAGCATTGTCGCTACAATAACCAGTTTTTGTTACACACAGTCATTAGAATAGGTTTTTCAACGGTCATAAATACACAGTCACAAAACTATGTAAAAACTGCAGGAAACTTGAATGTGGATACCCTAATCTTCTTCAAGTGCTTCCTCATGTCTATTCCAATATAGTTGCATGCACGTCATGTGCACCATCACTCGAAGTTTTTCCCCTAGTTGTATCCATCCAGTCGATTCTGGTACCCCCTGGAGTGGCGCCTTCATGGTGTAGTATATAGACACCTGCCGACCCTCCACCTCCTCAGTTTCTTCTTTCCATCCATGACAGTTGCTGGAATGCTCTCGTTCTCTTGCTCTGTATGCAAATACTCCTTACTGGTTCTCTGTAAAATAGAGTGTAAATAGTTCAATTAGTCGGTAGTTAGCAAATAGTTAGATAAGATAGAGTATTTGTAAGCTCCTGCGCTACTGCACCTACCGTCACGGGCCCTGGGGCATACCTTGGTCTCAGAGATTCAAGTAGTGTGCAACGTGCCACAAGCCCATGCCGGTAAGCAACCCGCATGATAGCTGCCTGGGAGAGAACCACGTTCAGGATAAATGCCGAATCTGTAACAACTTTAAGCCCTGGACTAAGAAGAAGAGAGACAATAGACTAAAATTTCTCTTAATAGAGGCAGCACTTCGCCCTTAATCAAAACCCAACCTAGCTCCGAGCACTTCCTCTGTCAGAAGTGCCCTGGCCTCATTTACAGAGACTCAGCAAGACCCGGGATCCCTGGCACTGGTTATGCAGCACCAACACACTTCCCCGGCTGCCAAGAAGTCAACCCTGGCTGGTTGGGACTGCTCTCCATCACCAGTGCAGAAGTAAAGGACAAAGAAGTCGGACCGGGAACAATCCCCTCTGAGAAAAGCCACAGACAGAGTGAGACCTGTGCTGGGCCACTCTTACATGGGCAGCAACCAAGCTGTTGACTTCAGCCGTGGGAAGGGACCCGTCGACTCTGGTGCGCATGGACTCCCCACGTAGGGTGAACTATAGAGGTGACTCAGCCCTGGCCGTGTCAACTATGCCAAAAGCATATGAGGTAGTGAGAGGCCTTCTGTCCCTTCCAGTGCCTTCTCTGAGCCGAGGCCCGTCAGGGGCAGCCCCGATACTGTAGGAACCTGTCCCACAGAGGTAAATGCTTGTCTTGGGCAAGCCAACAATGATGGTGAGACATCGCCTGGCATCTCTCATCCTCTAGGGGCTCCACTCCTCGCTGATTGCAGCCCCGGTGCTGGTCACAGTCCCGGCGCCGGTCGCGACCCTGGCACTGCTCCCCATTGAGGTGCTGACCGCGTTCCTGGAGCAAATGACCATTGAGGCACCGCTCCTCAACGCGGTTTCACTGCATGGCACTGATGGGTACGGCACCGTCAAGATCACTCAGGAGCGGGTCCTCAGGCTCCAAAATTGCTGGCAGGGTCTTATACCTCGCGATAGAGCAGACATCAGGTGGACCTTGGGTATCCTGTGCCAGTGACCCAGGGGTTGGTCCAGCCGACATGGGGCCCAGCCCTCATGAGGTCCAGAAAACAATTCAGGACCTGCTGTTTGAGGGAAATTTCCTCTTTTCAGATTAGATGGACGCCCATCTTCATAATCTGAAGGATTCCAGGATGACTCTGAAGTGGTTAGGACTTCACACACCGGCCCTGGCTCATAAACATTATAAGCCCCAACCTAAGAGTCGATTCTACCAGCCTCATCAACAGCAGAGGCAGGACTTCGGTCGGCGGAGGAACAAGGGCTTTAGGAGGAGGCATACACCTCATGCCCCTTCAACATCCACGTCTGTGCCCTCAAAACAACCAGCGGGGTCTAAGCAGTCCTTTTGAGGGTGAGCCCGAGGATGGCACACCAGACCAAAGCCTGGATATTACCTCTATGTTTGTGGACCATTTGTCCCATTTTTACTGTGCCTGGATCAACATCACTTCAGACCACTGGGTGCTCTGCAGGATAGAAGTGGGATTTACCCTGCAGTTAATTTCTTCCCCTCCTTCCCATCCTCCCTCCCTGTCCCTCTTCAGGGACCCTGAGAATTCTGGCCCAGAAAGTACAGTCGCTCCTAAGGGTGGGAGCCATGGAAGTGATTCCTGTGGAGTTAAGAAGCAAAGGGTTTTACTCACACTACTTCCTGATCCCGAAGGTCAACAGGGATCTCAGACCCATCCTAGACAAGTTCATGAAGAAGTTGAAGTTCTGTATGGTTTTCCTGGCTTCTAATCTCCCTTCCCTAAGATCCAGGGGACTGGTTTGCTGCCCTGTCAGCAGCTCCACAAGTATTCATGACGTGCATGGCAGTGGTGGTGCCTTTCTCAGGAGGCAAGGAGTGCACGTCTACCCTTACCTGGACAACTGGCTGATCAAAGGTTGGTCGAGAGATGTGGTGGAAGAGCATATGAACCTCGTACAGCCCACTTTCAGGAACCTGGGGCTCCTGATAAACGAGCACATGTCGACTTTCTCTTCTATTCAAAGGATAGAATTCATAGGAGCGGTTCTCGATTCAACCGAGGCTCGATTCAGAGCCTCCTTGCCAGAGAACTGGTTCAGGGCCATCCAAGAGATCATAAACAGCCTGAAATCCTTTACCATCACCTGAGGCTCCTGGGACATATGGCCTCTTGTACCTACATGGTGCAGCATGCGCAGCTGAGACTGCGGCTTCTCCAAGCCTGGCTGGCATCGGGTGACCAGGCCATCACCCATTGTACAAGGTGATCACTCTTCCCTCACTCTCTAGTGGTGGCTGGCCTGAGGCACAGTGTGTGCCGGTATCTCCTTTACAAGGCCCACCCCTTTGATGTTGCTGGTCACTGACAATTCGGACGTGGGATGGGGAGCTCACTTGGGGCCCCTCAGTACTCAGGGCCTCTGGACGCCAGAGGAATTAGCCCTACATATCAGCGTCAGGGAATTAAGAGTGGTGCACCTAGCCTGTCAGGCATTCTGTCACAACCTACATGGCAAATGCATGTCACAACCACAATGTTTTATATAAATAAACAGGAGGGGGGGCTCACTCTTCTCCCCTGTGCCAGGAAGCGCTGAGGCAATGGGAGTACTGCCCAGTCCACTCCATTTCCCTGGAAGCCTCCTATCTACCAGGCACTCAGAACAGGTTGACAGATCCTTCACCAATCATCACGAGTGGTCCATCTGACCAGACATCTTGAATGCAGTTTTCCAGAGGTCGGGGTTTCCCCAGGTGGAACTGTTTGCAACCAGATTTAACAGGAAATGCCCCCAGTCCTGCTTGTACCTGGGGCACAGCTCAGGCTCGCTCTCGAATACCTTTCTCCTTCCCTGGAGAGGGAGGTTTCTCTACTCCTTTCCTCTCACGCTTATCCATAGGGTGTTACTCAAGGTAAGGAGGGACAAGGTGCACATAATCCTTATAGCACAGGCATGCCAGTCAGGCTTCCGGTGCTCCCGGACTTGATAGCCCAGGAGCACAGATGTATGCTCCACCCAAACCTGGAGTCCCTATACTTGTTGGCCTGGAAGCTCCATGGCTGAGTGAGACAGAAGAGGACTGCTCAGCACTGTTGCGAGCTGTCCTTATGGTTGTCAGAAAGCAGTCAACTAGAGCGGCCTATTTGGCTACGTGGAAGAGGTTTATGCTGTGGTCACCGAAGAGAAAGATCCTACCTTTGGAGGCCCCACTGCCCGTTATCCTGGACTACCTGCTGTACTTGAAGAAAGAAGGTCTTGCGGTATCATCCATCAGGGTTCACTTAGTTGCAATCTTGGCCCCAGCAGTGAATGGACAGTCGGTATTTTCAAACCCGATCTGTGCTCAATACTTGAAGGTATTAGAGCGTTTGTATCCACAGGGGTGCCAACCTTTGCCTCCTTGGGACCTCATCTTGGTACTGTCAAGACTGATAGGGCCACCGTTCGAGCCAATGACAACATGCCCCTTGCTCTACTTGTCCTGTAAGACAGTCTTCATGGTAGCCATTATTTTGGCCAAAAGAGTCGCAGAAATCCGGGCCCTCACCTTTGAACCACTGTATACAGTTCTCTTCAAAAACAAGGTCCAACTTTGACCACATCCATCCATCCTTCCGAAAATGGTCTCTTATTTTCACAGTATCCAGGACATTTTTCTTCCGGTATTCTATCCCAAGCCTCATGCTAATAGGCAAGAACAGAGGCTATGGACATTTGGACATTAGATGTGCACCTTTTTACATAGAAAAGGACCAAGCCGTTCCAGAAGACCACTCAGCTTTTTGTCGCTATCGCAGAGAGGATAAAGGGGAATCCTGTCTTGTCACATATAATCTCTTCTTGGATCACATCCTGCATCCGCATGTGCTACGACCTAGCTTAAGTGTCACTCCGTGCTTGCCAGCACACTCCACAAGATCACACTCTTCAGCGGCATTTGTGGCTTGAGTCCTGATCCTGGCTATCTGCAGGGTGGTGACCTGATCTTCTATCCACACATTCACCTCGCACTATGCCATCACTCAACAGGTCAGAAATTCTGCAGTTTTTGGTACAGCGCTCCTCCAGTCTGTGTCTCAGCGAAACTCCGATTCCACTACTTAACTGATTGCTTGGGAATCACCTATATTGGAATGGACATGAGCAAGCTATCAAAGAAGAAAAAACGGTTACTAACCTTTCTGTAACTGTTCTTTGAGATGTGTTGCTCATGACCATTCCGCAACCCACCCACCTACACCTCTGTTGGAGTTGCTGGCAAGAAGAAACTGAGGAGGCGGCAAGGCGGCAGATGAATATATACCGCGCCATGAAGGCGCCGCTCCAAGGGGCACCATAGTCAACCTGACGGATACCACTAAGGAAAAAACTTCTGACGATGGTGCACCCTACACGCGCGCACCTATATTGTAATGGACATGAGCAATACATCTTGAAGAACAATAGTTACAGAAAGGTTAGTAACCGTGTTTTCTTTTTCAGGATTACTAGCTAACTGGTTGTATGTATTTGGAATATAATTGGCTCTTTATATGGAAAAATAATGCTTTAATTCATTCCTTTATTCAAACAGACTGACTAGATTTATTCATTTCAGTTAAATCCACTCAGTCAAGCATGCTCATGTTTTAGACGCTAATGTATATTATATATTGAAATGCAATGTAACTAAAAATTGTTTTTCCTTACAGAAACTAATCTCTGAAGTGAAAATTCAGGTGGATAACCAGATCCAAAATCTACACTTTAATATAACTGCAATCTGTCCTGACGGAAGTAGAAAAACAGGCATGGAAGGATGCAAAAATGTGGCCTATAATGAAGAAGTATGTTGAGTTTCTCAGTCGCAAAGGGATTGAGCTATTTATTATATTT